GTTGATATCCGATGTTACTTTACAAAAGCCTATAGAAACTACTGTAATGACAGTTGGTTTTGTCGTGCACTTAGACCATCACAAGGTATTTTCATGAGCAGTTTGAAGTGCTAGCATAGCTGTGGATAAAAAAATTGACCCCCACGCCGAATTCCTCCGTTCTAATCTGGCTCTAATCGTGATTTTATATTTTTCCTTTCCCCTACTTTCCTCCAGACCGGCGACGCGGTATGCGACGGCCCAACCTGCGATGCAAGCGCCATAAAGCAATCGGGTAACGTTTTTGGAAAGTGTGTTATTGACATTATCGGTTCGCTAAAAACTGCTAATTTTCTGCGGCTCATACCCGCATTCTGTTGGCTGTGGTATGCGGGTATCTGCCACTCGTGACTGAAAGAAAGAGCTACATGATGTATGTGACAAATATCTCGCGCTATATATATATAGGTGCACCTTATGAACCGGTTCATCATTATACGATGGTTTGAGGTTCATTGTCATAACATGATGAGCCTGTTCATCGTGTTGGTCACGCACTAATGTCATTCCTTGCAAATTTTGGTGTACGTAAAGTAAAGGAGACTTTGAAGATGTGTGCGGCTAGGAAGAGGGATAGCTACGTAGATAGAAACCTCCGAAGTGTTGGCAGTGCGCTAAAAAATGCTTCACACTTAAGTCTTGTAAAATAATGAAGGCAACAGTAATAACCAATAAGTAATCACAATAACTTGAAATCACTAGAAACGCTTCGCAAATATGCGGCTGACATTTGTGCCACCGGACAAAATTCGCGATTGGTTCTCTTTTGGCGCGTTATTCGCTACAACTCAATCTAACAGAACTTTCTGCGCACAACTCAACTGCTGCAGCAAATTGACAAATCGCAGCAAAAAATGTAGATACGCGCCTGTCATGCATGTGATCTTAGCAAATGTGGACGTCATCAATGGTTGGGTAAACATAGTACTGGGACTGTACAAATGGGGATCACTACGTGCCACGCACTTTTTAGGTTTGAAGCTAGTGTAGCATAATAGAGTGCTGTATTGAAAACTACGCCATTATCACACAGTTTTCTCTTGGTTTCACTTTTCTGATCTGCTCGTCTTTTGTGCATTGTGTCAATTTTGTGAACAATAGTCTTGGCGTACCCGGGCGATAAAGAATTGCCCATTAAGCACTGGAACCAAGAACCGCGAGCAGAGTCGAAAATAAGGAATGAGAGACAGGATACATAAACAATACGTATTCAAAACGAACTTGAATGCATTTGTAGGTGTCTAGTTTGAATTTATTCGATTATTCTATGCCGAGTCAAATGTGTGCGGCTACTAAACCCAAGTTTCTGCTGGTGTGATAACGTAAACACTGAAGGAGTGTGTAAAAGCTCGTTTTTTTCATTGTTTGACAGAACATTAGTGAGAACGAACAGCTATTCACACCACGGAAAGTATAGGGGGTGTTAGTAGTAGTGATTGTAAATTAAATGTGAAGAAAGAAAGTGGACGCAGAGATAAATTGCCACCGGCCGGATGCAAACCTGTGACCTTGGAATAACGCATTCGATGGTCTAGCTTTACGAGTTGCGTAAACCCGGCACTCTACGAGTTGCGTAAATACCTCATTCTCAGTTGGACAAGAAATATTAGGCTAAAATAAAGTTTTAACTGACAGAGGCTGTTTATTACTATCCAGAATGACTGAAAGATTAGCTATCTCAAAATTTTTTTTCCGGAAAGAAGCTTTTAGAAAAATGAATAAGTGGAAAGTGCATTTAATCAGACAGTTTGCAAAGAAGCTTCAATGCATGCTATAAGAAGTCACACTCAAGAGCTGAACATACATGTGTAGAAACTTTAGAATGTTCCTTCGACATTCTGCACACTACAATTCGAATGAGAAGGCGCTCAATTTATAGAAGTGTTAGGCAATGATTGAAAGAGAATTAGAGTTGCATATTTTCACTGTCACTTTTTCTAATATTTAAAAGCAATACTATCATAGGAATTATGATGTAATAGCTTGACTAGCCTCACAAACAGCTTTCTTTCAATTGTGCAGCAACGCCGATGCTGCTTTCTATTCAAGGATAATAATTTCTGGATTAATATAACGCTAGTGTAAGCGTGCACACATAGAGCAATTATTCAGAACCACTACAGCTATTCACCTGCCTATAAAACCGAATGGTAATATACGGTCATAACTATGAAGCACTAGTAAAAGTAACACAGCTAGAAAGATAGAAAGGGAAAGAAATACATGGAAAGAATTTCTAGAAGTAGTTTTGAAAACCACCAATATCTTATTTACATATATCAGACGCATCCTTACTGATGTGCACAACGTTGACTTTCGATGTGACAGTCCAGCAATATTGCTTTCAATGTCCAAGCCAACTGCTTCAATGCCGTTGCGAAGCACACTAAATTATGAAGCTTGTCAGTCATGAAATGTTCATGCTGTGCTCACATTTGTCTAAAAAAAAGGTACTATGTGATCTTTAGATGCACGATAGCTTCACCCTCATGTTATATGTCTTTATTGCTATTACGTTCCTTCTTATAGCCTTTATTTCTTATGCACTATTCACTAGCGCGAAACAGAGGTCTGATTTCATAGCGCTGAACACCATCATTAGATCGATAGATATAGCGTGCACTAGTGCGTAATTTAGAGCTGCTCACGCAGTGAAGGTCGATTGGTTGTCAGAAGACAATTGGGCATGGATGCTATATCCAGTTATCACAGGAGACTCCGCCGTCCCGACAGAACGGTGCAGTGAATCCCTCGAACAATTTTTACTATTGGCTCTCACGGGGGAAAACGTTTGACGCGCTCTCACGGAGAAAAATCCCACTCGTAGAGCCTACTGTAGACACTCATCCCGCTTTAGGGGGTTTTATTAGCCATCAAAATGTGATTACGTGGAGTAAAAAAATGGCAGCATATCCACGGAGTGAATGGAGAGTGGGGCGAAGCATTCGTCCGTCCATGCGTCCGTCTGTGTGACCGTCCATGCGTACGTTCGTGCGCCCGTCCCTGCGTTCGTTCATGCATCCGCCCCTGCGTCCGTTCATGCGTCCATCCATGCATCTGTCTGTGTGTCCGTTCGTTCATCTATTCAACACTCCAAGTCCCATCATCTCGCATCTTTTTATGATATATTGCCCATATAGAAGCACCGCCATTCAGTGGACATTCCAAGGACTAAACGAGAGGTGGCACACGCACACTTTCTTACGGCTTGCGCTTCGGGTCTACTTCCCACCTTCAACCACCTTGAGTTCATGGTATATACTAGTTCACTGTATTCATGGCACTGTGGCCAAATGCTCGCTAAACCTCTCTAAAACCAAGGAGGTTACGCCCAGCGAGTATAACGTAGCAACCTTTTCCTGTCAGAAAGTGCTCAATGTACATGCCAGTGGCTGCTAATGTGAAATGAGAGACAGGAGGATTCAGCTTTTAATTTCTTACGGCTTGCGCTTCGTATCTGCTTCCCCCCTTTAACCACCTCGAATTCATTCATGGTATATACTAGTTCATTGTATTCATAGCCCTGCGGCTCAACGCTCGCTAAACCTTTCTAAAACTAAGGAGGTTACACCCAGCGAGTATAATGTAGCAACCCTTTCTTGACCAATAGTGCTCAATGTACATGCCAGTGGCTGCTAATGTGAAATGAGAGACAGGAGGATTCAGCTTTTAATTTCTTACGGCTTGCGCTTCGTATCTGCTTCCCCCCTTTAACCACCTCGAATTCATTCATGGTATATACTAGTTCATTGTATTCATTGTCCTACGGCTCAACGCTCGCTAAACCTTTCTAAAGCTAAGGAGGTTACACCCAGCGAGTATAATGTAGCAACCCTTTCTTGACCAATAGTGCTCAATGTACATGCCAATGGCTGCTAATGGGGATCGCAGCGTGCGCGTTGACTAAAAGCCGAATGCTCCTGTCTCTCATTTCCCATTAGCAGCCATTGGCATGTACATTGAGCACTATTTTTTATTGTTAAACAACGCATTGAAGAAATCTCTCACCAGCACCACCTTCGAGGTCAAATGTTATACCTATTTCGGATATGTGCCACTGGTGGTTACGTACTACGAGGGACGCACAAGCCACGCCATAAAGAGCTTCGCCCCTAAAAGGGGCATAGTACGTTACAATCTACAAAGTCGAGCATAGCAGCCTTCGAAAATCCTTACAAACAGGGAATGAGCTTGCATGGACCGGCAAAATCTACTCTTTTACTCATGCTCTTCACCATTACTAGAATGCACTCTGTCACATTACCTGTTGACTACCATTTACATATGAACTCACACAGCTGACAGACGTCCATGCACAGCTTGCACTCAATAACTCTTCACAAGCCCGTCTGTTCTATTTGCAATAAGTGCATATCCTTAGTCACCCACGTGAACACTGTCAGCCGAGCAACACTCAAAGGTGTGAACAATGAAGGTTGCTTTGGCAGGCTCTGTTCTCGGATGAAGTAAGGAAAGGAGATAGTGCAATAATCCGTGCGCGACATGGATCACGGTTGGCGCTTGGTCCAGTCACCACTGGTGATCTCAGATTTGCATTAGTGTCACATTTGTATTTGTGTACGCAGAGAGGCTTCGTTTGGTTTCCGTGCAAAAGCACCTCGGTCAGGGCGCTTCATCGACGTCCAGTTGAGCTTAATATAGTGTGAGAAAAAGGAAAAGCGCAAGAGTCCACTTGCGCAGTAGTCCTATCATTAGACTAATCTGAGACTTTTTCTTTTTTTTCTGCTATATTCCTGTGAAATATGTGTTCGGAATGGTATGACATTGAGAAAGGTTGCGGTAAGAGAGAGCTGAGAAAATCAAAACATTTCTCTTCTTAAAGACACGGCGCGTGAACAAGCCGGAAAAGAAGACACCCAAAAAGCCTTTTGTGGTGCCTGGACTTTTTTCATGTGTTCGTGTTTCTTATCTTTGGATTTCAGTAAGAAACGTACGCAAGGTATGCTTCGCTGGCTCCATTTATTATGATTATTTAATATGTACCATGATCACTAGCAGCTGTACACACAGCACGCCGCCGATAGTAGAGAGTGCTTGAGCGATTCACTGCACCGTTCTGTCAGGACGGCGGAGTCACATGTGCTCATTAGATTTAGCATCCATGCCCTATGTTTTCAGGACGACAGATGTTGCGGCGTACTTCAAAGCTTTTTTTGCCATTTGGTGACTGGTACCTCACTAAAGGTTTGTAGTTCACAAGCATCTCAAATCTAAACCCTTGCGTAGGTCTACATTCCTTTTGCATGAGACAATTTGTGCGTTCGGGCAATATTTTATGAATAAATAACGAACGTGCCACTGCTCTATCACCTACGGTACCAAAGGAATGGCGCTCTGAAGTTGGGGCACTGGCCTACGCCACTTCTAGCCTTAGCAATGCTACATTGTCGTCTCCAGCGAGAGTCTTCTTGTTCGTCGCTTCGCACTAACTCTAGCTTAGTATTAAACGAGAGCTTGCGCATGGCAGGCGCTGCATCCGGCTGCTGCGTTTCCGGTGACCACGAAACACGGGGCTGCCACGCAGGGGCCGCCAGTAGTCGCTGGCTAGACGCTGGCGAAGAAGCACGGCACATGTGGGCACTCCTGCGGAAAATCAAAGTCAAGAAATAAATTTCACTTGCGTTTATTTTCGGGGCGAAGCTCCCCCTAGTCATGCGTAACCGAGCGAAGAGACGAGAAAAAAAGAAGGCAGTATCTCCAGAAGAGTATAATAGACGGCGCTCTCTCACACAGTTGTGTTGAGTAAAAACTGCGGTTGAGTGAGGATATTCTCGATAACGCTGTACCACTACTCTGCAATTGGCTGCCACGTCCGCTTAGCCTAAGTGCGCGGAGAAACAGTGCTTCTCTCAGTCTCTGGATTGTCGCCGTACGTGGCGGGTCGTTGGTGGGTCATGGGCGAAGCAGAGCGGCGGGCGCGTTGAAGACGCTGGGCTTCTTTAGCTCGCGTCTCATCGGGGTTACGCGCGCGCCGTCTGCATTCTCTAACGCGATCGGACGCATGGACGCGTGCACGGACAGACGGACACAAGGACGGATGGACGTAGGGATGGTTGCTCTAATATTCACCATTCAAGTCGCCGATATTCTAGGTTTTTTATGTTGTGTGTAGAGCGTTAAAAAGGGTGCTTGCTTTTGCGGCTCATCAAAAAAATATACGCACTCTGAGAAGACAATCAACAAACTTTTAAAATTATATTCGTAATTGATCATACGCTGATATATGCTCCATTCGGAATAGCTGTATTTCTAATTAAATAGCAATCCTAGTGCGAGAACTGCCTGGAAATATGGGTTCTTGCTACCTAATAAACAATATTACCATGCGAATGAAAGATACTTCTTTAGCACCAAAGACAAGACATAATTGATCGTTATAATAAACGCACGCAGCGGAAACTTGTACATAATTAGGAAAAGCAAAGTATAATTGACAGTAAGTGTACTATTATAAGTGTATTGAAATAATTGTGAGGCACATGCTAAGAAAGTAAAGTGGACGAAAACACAACCTACCATCGGCAGTGATCGAACGTGCATACTAGAACTTGTTTGGCTAGTAGGCAATTAGTCTTAATGTAGGGCAATTAGGTGCAACTTGCGTTTGCGCATCATTGTTGATCATCGCTTTTGTGCATTACCCTGTACTTACAGTGTGGTCAACAGATAAAGGGGGCACCCGAATAGAATTTTCTTATTGTTGGTCTCCTACCGGCTAGGCAATGCAAAAACGTTGTTAGCAGACGGCGCGAAGCTGTCCAAAGTAGTCAGAAGAATTAATCACCAGTAGTCATAAGCAAATACAAGCCTTTGTGCTTTTGCAGGAGAGGAAAATCCGTACAGCCCGTTACAAACGTGTTCTTTTCAACAGTAGACCCGCCTGTACATAACTGGGTCAGTTAGACCCAATTAACAGTGGGTAGTGAGCGATGTGTTAGGTGTGTAGTTCTCGTGTGGAAGAGCACCTGAACGTTTGAGTGTTTGTTAGACGTCCAAGTAGCGCTAAGTTTAATTACATTATGACTAAAAGCGCAATTTTCGGATAACGCACCCGATGCTTCACCAATCGAGATACGGCTGTGGTCGTCCTCTATTCCACTTATTCGAGTATTTATCCGCATGTAAACTTGTGATTGCTAGTGCTGCTAGATGCCTTGACGGCATTTGTGGAACACAGTCTGTGCAAGCTGGCGTCATGTGGCACATAACCTTTTTACAAGCGGACAGCTGGTCAACATGCCCTCGCATACTAACTGTAGACATGAAGTCTGCCAGAGCGAGATGCTCATTACTAATGAAATAAAGAAGAAAATATTAGTGACTCTTTTCTTTCTTTGACACAACCGTAATAAAAAGAGGCAGATAAAGAAACCAAGGACGGTACACGGGACGCCGATATGTAGCGAAGCCTTCAGCGTGTATCCGGAACAAAAATTGGCAGATCCCACATACGGTGGGAATCGATCATATGCGAAGCACGAATGAGGAAGGTTGATTTATCACATTAAAATCAGCATTGCGTTACCATGTGGATGCGAATTGTTACATTATTTTTATTTTTATTTTAATTTATTTTCCTCAAGGGTTCCTAACACAAGGGACATTACATGAGGGGTGGGCATACAAGACATGGGTAAAGGTAAAAGTGGATGTGTAACAAAACAAAAAAACAAAAATTTTAGGACATAGCTGAAGCGGCAAAAACAAGGGGTAACATGTACATTTGTTTGTGGACTCTGAATAAAAACATTTTACTGAGACAAAAGATACTACTTAAAAGGTACAAAACGTTGCCAAGTACACAAAATATACATGCACGCCTTACTAGGAAAATGACACTAGAAAAAAAAGTCAGGCACGTTAAGAAGTTACCTTGAAATTATTATGGTTCAGTGATGATTGACAGGGAATTTTTAAAAGCTTCTGCATCCTGAATGCTAACAATGGTATCCGGTAGGGCATTCCATTCCTTACCTGTCCGAATGAAGAAAGATTGGGCAAATGTAGTAGTTTTGGGACGAGGGCAATGTACTTGCATAGTGTTGCAACAACGATCAGAGAAATAGGGGCGTTGGGTGACGTAAATGCTAGATGGGGATGCATGATAGAATTTGTGGAATAATTAGAGCCGCGCAGTTTTTCGGCGTTGACTAAGAGTCATAAATGCGACACGTTTCTTTAAGTCTGTTACACTGGTAAACGATGAGTAATCGGAAAAGGCGAATCTGGATGGCTTCTAGGTTTTGGATGAGTTAATGCTGGTGTGGGTCCCAAATCGCCGCGGTATACTCCAATTTCGGGCGTATTATTGTGGTGAAAGCTAATATTTTTAAGTGGCTGGGAGCAAACTTCATTGTTCTTTGGATATAACCCAAAGATCTACTACCTGTTAAAATTACGCGATTGATGTGGACGGTCCATGATCGGTCACTTGAGATATGTATTCTAACATATGTATACGAGCTAGTCGGTTGTAGAAAATTGTTATGTAGGGTGTAGTTGTGCACTAAAGGATTAGTACATCTGTGAAAGCACACTGATCTACATTTAGAAATGTTTAAACTCATCTGCCACTTGTGGCACCAATTATGCCGTATATAACTTTCATGTTATGATTATTATGTTCGGACGTGTCATTTACTTTCGTAATCTATTCACGTCACGTGATGCCAAATTGGGTATGTGTGGAGCTAGCAAAACGGTCGCGAGCGTGCTATAAGCGTAGTACGTTATGTTTTACATGACCGACATGCCATGATTAATATGTCTGGACATGACTTTTACCTTCGTCGTCTACTCACGTCACGAGATACCGAATTTGATGTACGTTGGCTTGCCGAAACGGTAGTGAACGCGTGATGAGCGCCTCATCTAGTCATGTTTTACATTACACGCATATCATGATTTTCATGTTTGGACGTGTCATTTACCTTCGTCGTTCATTCACGGTTCGTAATACCAAATATGGTATATGTGCAGCTTGCGAAACGGCCACGAGCGCATCATGAGCGTGGAATGTAGTCATGTTGTTACATGACACGCATCTTATGATTAGCATGTTTGCACCACTTGCATACCTTCCTCATCAATTCACGTCCCATAATATCCCTTTTTGTATATATAAAGCTAGCGAAACGGCCGTGACCACATCATGAGCGCGGCATGTAGTGATGTTGTTACATGACATACATGTCATGATTTTCACGTTAGGGTGCGTCCCTTGTGTTCCCCATACAGTCGTGTCATACGATACCAGTTTTGCAACATGTCATGGGAACCAAAGAACCGCAAGAGCAGAAAGACCATGAAATGTGATTCATGACGTTCATGACATACATGTCGTAATTTTCGTGTTATCAGTAGTCGCTTATGCCCATCATACAGTCATATTATGCATAGCAATTTTGGAATCTATAGCATTATAGAAACGGCCAGGAAAGCTAAACGTCGTAGGCGGCTAGATAGATAGATAGATAGATAGATAGATAGATAGATAGATAGATAGATAGATAGATAGATAGATAGATAGATAGATAGATAGATAGATAGATAGATAGATAGATAGATAGATAGATAGATAGATAGATAGATAGATAGATAGATAGATAGATAGATAGATAGATAGATAGATAGATAGATAGATAGATAGATAGATAGATAGATAGATAGATAGATAGATAGATAGATAGATAGATAGATAGATAGATAGATAGATAGATAGATAGATAGATATGCTCAGAGTCACCGAAGTACGCTGATAAATGCTTCGCATTTAAAAGATTTTGAGGAATGGCCGCGGAAGCATAGCGTATTACCGTTCAGGGGCAGCAGTTCCGTCTGCGCTGCAGAGGGATCCGCGGCCTGATGAGGAAGACGCCGAGTGCGTGAATACTTCGCAGCGGCAGGGTCCCGCCTCCGCAGCGGCGGCGAAATGGCAAGGTCCTCGACGCTCCTGCTCACCGGCAGACGTGGTGCCTACTGCCATGCGCTGGTGGTGGTGCACCGACGCTGCAGCCAACTGCTGGACATCTGACCAGACTCGGCACTGCCAGCACCGTTCGCAGCTGCGGTGGACCTGCGCAGCCAGGATGGCAGCCCGGCAGCCTGGTCTGCCGAGCGCAGGAGCTACAGTGGCGGGTCATTCGGAAGAGGTGGTCGAGAAGCTGCGCAGGCTCTTCGGCTGGTCCGGCATGGAGACAGCGTTGAGCAGGGCGCGCCGGATCAATGGGTCCGTTTTGAAACCCTCGCAGAACTCCTCGCGGCTGATGCGGGCGTCAGCGTCCTGCAATGTCACCGTTCATGGGTGAGGAAAAATAATGCATGCGTGCTGATGACCTTTCCATGCTCGCTCGTTGTGCAAAGAAGCCGGGAAGCTTTATACCGACATCACACTTGCGTTCCGAAATCCTTTGAAGCAGTGGTCTATCGACTCAACTGTCAAACATGATCTGCCACACGAAAGAAGTCAATTTATTCAACGCAGCACCCACCACTCCACTGAAACTTCGATGGTCGTTGTGCGAACAGCACTCACAACAGCGCGAACAGCATTCACAGAGTACCTAATGTACTTGTACGCACGATTATAATTTGAAAGATGAGTGTGCATGTTAAAGAATTCGAGGTGGTTGAAATTACCGGAATCCTTCACTTTGGCATCTCTCTAATCATATGTAGGGTTTCGCAACGTTAAACCGCTCTTATCAATCAAGCAAATCGATTTTGATTTGGAAAATGGCTTCTAACCAGTATGTTTTAAATATTTCAGAGTTGTGATAAATTTAATACTTGCCCCTTGAAATTGGTGAACTGGACATACACTCCATAACAGCCACGTAATCGTTTTCCGCGTGCTTTCTTAATTTTTATAGCCCACCACAGTTTTGTTGCTCAATAAAATAAAGCTGAATAAACAATGACCGCTATGAAGAAACTACTTATGGAGCTACTCAAACATAAACAAATGTAATTGAGTTTGTAAGTGAATTTATAAGACCTAACATGAGTCAACATGAATAAGCAAATAAACATCCGCAGTGCTATATAGTTCTTGTGGCAAACGCCTAAAGCACTCAACGATCGTTTAGACTTGCCGAATAGCAGTGTTAGAACTCCATCGAGTTGATCGACTTTTGGCGTTTCGATGGGCATCGAGCGGATGGCCTTTCAAAAGAGCCTGCGTGACACAAGTCAGATGGCCTCTTTATTACTCTTTGTTGTGGCACATAGCACTGATGGAAGACGACAGTTATCTAAAGAGAGCTTCACCACGTTTTACTTCTTCACCAACTCTTTCTTTAAGCTGAGGTTGTCTCCTCAGATTGCATGTATGAGCGTCATCACACGAACGCTACAAGGAATGACAACGAGTGACACGACCAGCGCCATTGCAACATTCCGGAACCTGACGATGTGAGTGAAACCTCAAACCACATAAAGCCATATGGAGTGTCTGTTGACGTAGCAATAAAAACTGCTCTACGTTACAGCCTGTAAGTAGTCCTTACACCTTTTCAATTCAAAATATTTCGGGCGTTTAATGAGCCGCACTTTTATCGGAAGAGCCCTTGACTGGAAATCAGTGTGGATATGACCGCAAACATCTTGGCTACTGCTTTATGAGATATTCTAAAGAGATTAGCATTGTATTGATTAGATAGGTGTCTTTCTTTTTAAAAGAAGCCCTAGACAGTGACTAAAACACAAACAAAACGACTTCTTTAGTCCTTCCGCTGTATCACTCGCCTTTGCGCCATGCTTCAAAAGGCCAGAAGAGTACTTGAATAAATCTGTGGAAACATTCATATACAAAAAATATATGTTATCGACTGCCTCGTGTCTACTGTGGTTTGCCATGCATTGGCCCACCAATTTCGCGCTGCTTCGCATGACGATCGCTCGAGTGCCACCATACCACTCTGCTTACCAGTGTCGACACGCTGACCTCATTGTCTGCCTTCACTGGTGCACGCTGGCGCAAAGGTAAAGAAATTTTATTGGCTTGTTGGCAGGAGTATCAACTTAACAACCGGAGTTGCGCCACTTTTCCACTTGATGTTGTTGCTCTAGCGGGGTCCAGAATTCTAATATACACAATAAAATATTCAATACATTGAAAATACAAAGACTCATACTCATCTTCCCAGCGGTATCCCGATGCAGATACGAGACACATTAAGAATATCGAAAGCGTGAACTAACAACCACTGCTTTCTCTTCTCGTAACGACTGTTTCGAGTATTCATTTTTCCTTGAAGAGTGACAGATAGGAATAACCTTAGCAAGAACATCCTTCAAGGAGTTTCTTTTTCAGCGTTTCTTCATAGCTGAAAAATAAATGGCTAATTTTTACAGTTACTGTCTGTTTACATGTGCCTATCCTGATGGTTTGTTTCAACTGCTCGTATGGTAAACGCTTTGATAAATAATTGAACATAATTTCATTACCTTTAGTGTAGGTGTTCTTTTCCCGGTGTTTTCAATATATGATTGTAATCATCTTCCTGTACATGTATATATAGGGCAATTACAATAAAGTTTTGTTCATGCATTGAAATCCACAATGCTAAAATTCCTGATGGGAATGCAGCACCAGTAAATGAATGAATATTTAAATAAATAAATAAATAAATAAATAAAGATCCGATTAACTACATGTGCCTTCGATACTGACCAGTCTTGAATCCTTTCATCACGTGTCTTTTTACATTTTAGCATGAAACTTTTAGTAATTTAGAGGCCCAATATTTAGCAACAAAATTGCGTTTTAAGCACCATAAATAGGCAAGCGGAACACCCTTCGAAGCTGCCAAAGTTGTAAAGATAGGCACAATAAATTTTTGCATAAACTAATGATACTCCGAAGTAAGACGTACGCGGCGTTGTATTCAAGACAGGAAAGCAGAACTGTTGTTTACAATGGCACAATGGCGTGAATGGTTGAAGATGGCCATGAAATTGTGGTTTTTCCCGCACAGTTCATAAAATATAGATCTCTATTTTTACCCTGTATCATGGTCATTCAAGTGACCACAATGAAGAGAAAGGAAGGATTGCTGGCCCTAATTATTTGTGACATGCACAAAACAAGCAGATGGTTTGACTGCTAAAAAGACAGGAAGGGAGAGATTGAACTGCATCGGATCAACTGTTTTTTTTTGTGCCAGCAGTTGGGCGCTCGCGCGTCCCGAGAGTACCTACGTCGTCTTCGGTGTTGTTCGTTATTCGGCGAGGGTCGTTTTTTCGCCGTTTTGGGCTCGCTGGCTCCTTGTTTTTCGAGCGCCCCGAGGACCTGCTGGACGGCCCAGGGCTGTTATTCCTGGTCGTAGCTCTTCGCGGCTTCCTCGAGCCACAATGGGATTATTCTGGATCTTGTTCCTATGAGTGTTTAATGCAGTCCCACAAGATGTGCAGTCCCACAAGATTTCATCTGCCATCTCCCTCCAGCAGGCCTTGCACTTGTCGGTCGGGTATCTCTCGGGGTAAATGCGGTGCATCTGTGCCGGGCTCCGTAGTGATCCGGCCTGGAGGTTTCACAGTAGTACCGGCTCCACTCGACCCAGCCGCAAGTGCGCGAATGTGCAAGTCCTGCGAACCATGCGGTAGGCTTACGTTATGTCGATGTAGTCCATCATGCTGTCCTTGGCTTCGAACCACGTTGAACGGTCTGTCGCTGGAGCACGGTTGTTTAGTGTTTGCGTCGCTGAGTGTGCCGTCTGGTTGTGGCTGTCATCGCGTTCCGACGCGTCACGCGCGTGCACCGGGAACCACATAATTCTTATTTTTCTGTCTGAAAGCGTGGCCGCACGCAATATACGCCCGGCCTCTCTACAGATTTGGCTTTTGGCGGAGTTTCACACCTCCTGTCTAGAGTCACTCAGCACCGTATGTCAGGCTGTGTCGGCGATAGCTGGGGCGATGGCCACCTCCTCCGCTTGTTCCGCTGTGGAATTTTCACGTTCGCTGCATCCTTGTTGCGCTGGTCGACGCTTCGATTACTACCGCTGCGAATGCGTTCTCTTGGCATTGAGCCGCGTCCACGTACCTCGCCTGCACGTCGTTGGCGTGCAGGTCGATGATAGCGCTGGCCCTTACCGCCCTTCTTCTGTTTTGTACTCGCAATTTATATTCTTCGGATCGTGGTCGGTTCTAATCTGGCATCGGACCTCATCAGGGACGGGGAGCTTCATCTCTGCTTCGCTCAAGCATCCTATTTCCAGATCCTTCAGTATCGTCCTGCCGGCTTTGGTCGTGGACAGCCACTCCAGTTGAGCTGCTTTTTGCACTTCGCCTATTTCCTCGAGCGTGTTGTGTATCCCTAGGTGTAAAAGGCGGGTGGTGCTCGTAAACTCAAACAGGCCCTGCGCCGTCTTGTACGCTCTTCTGATGATGGCGCTGATTTTGTTGCGTTCGTGCTGCAGCCATCTGTGGCAGGCTACAACATACGCGACGTGACTGATGATGAAGGATTTTATGAGCCTGATTTGGCTCTCCTCTCAGAAGCCTGCCTTCCGGGACACCACTCGTTTGAGGGGTCGTGTGGAGTTGGCCACCTTAACAGTGAGACGGGTGATGGTGTCGCCATTTCTTCTGTGTTTCTCAATGATCATGCCAAAAATGCTGATTTTACCGACTTTGGAGATCACGTTACCGGATTTGGTAACGACTCAAGTTTTTTTCGTATTTTCATTGTCTGGTCTTGCCTCTGCCGTTGTTGGTAGGTTGAAGTATTAGCACCTCAAATTTTCTTGGCGCACACCTTAGTCCGGTGCCTTTAAGCTGGTCTTCTGTCGCGTCTACTGCAGCTTGCAGCGTGCCCTCGATGTGGGTGTCGTTGCCACCAGTCACGCATAGCTTGATATAATCCGCGTAGTTCGTGTGCCTGAAGTCTTCGATATCCGCGACCTTCTCTGCCACTCCGATCATTACCAGGTTGAACAGCATTGGCCAGATGACCGATCCTGCAGTGTGCCAGTGCTCCCAAGCTTCTTCTCTTGCGTCTGTAGGTCGCGTACTCGCAGCTCGGCGGTCTTATTCGTGAGGAAGTTATTCATATAGTTTTAATGAAACGGGGTTTATTGGCACAAGTAGTACTTGCACAGTAGGTGTATTGATGCGGAAAGCAGGCGGCAGCAACGGACTCAGGAATCACAGCAATCGGGGCAAACGCTCGCGCTTGGCTCCTCTTGCTAAAGGCGTGACCCACTGCAGCACATATTCTTCTTCCTCTCTACAATACCCAGGCGACGAAGACGAGCCATCCTGGTAAGTCAAGGTGACGAG